TAAATTTACCAAACTCAGCCCCCGGATGTTCGTGGCTGTGACGTACGGCCCTACAAAAAATTTTGGTAGAGGAATTGCTAACTCAAGAACCAAAAAATTTGGAATGCTGAAATTTCAACGGAACTTTCCCTGTCCAAATACTGCGTAGACTATTAGCTTCCCGGATTTCGAGGACCAATACCATCACACATTTCTATCTAGTGGGTTTCCGAGCGATCTCACTACAATACGAAATATTGCAAAAATGCATGTGGCGCCGGCTCACCGGAGCGCGTCGCCAGTGATTTTCAGCTTTTTCAATTCTTCGTTCATTCAGGATAAAAGAGGCATCACATTATATTCAGAAACCTCTCTCGTTGTTTCAGCGTAGATTCACAGCGGGCTTTATGGAAGTATATTGAGCAACAAGGCTGTTAGCTAAGCCTTTGTTAAACTTGATTTCAGTAATTTTTTTTATAGGAAGTATATAAAAAGCCTAAAATCTACAGGTGCTGGTATCTGCTCCTTGAAGGAATTTGCCGCTGGTGCACTTAATGTTGCCATAGGCCAGAGTAGCAAATAAGGTTTAAAAATTACCAACCCTCGGATTCTTTGCCGAACTGGATCCCACAATTCATGAGGCGCCACAAATTCTTCATTTGCACCTGATAAAAAATTAGCTGTAGTATTTTCTTCGAATTTTGTTTCTGCCTATAGAAAATGGTTTTTCTATTGTAATAAGGTCTTCTGAGACTTGAAAAAACATCCAGCATGCTCTAGACGCAATTGGGGGAACTCTGTCCAATTAGTACGTGATTCAGGTCTAATTAACAAAACAATAAATTACTGGCGAAAACAATAAATTTTAAACCAACTTCCAGTAAACGACACTTCTGGATGGTTGCCTTCGTCATCGGCCATACCTGAAGGAATTCTGGCTGAGTTTGGATACCTAATGACTTCAGATCTAATCTTTGGCTTTAGTCTGCTAAAGTCAAATTTTTCATTCATTAGCTAAAGAATTCTGCCATCAGCTTGGTTGTAGCAGTCCCTACCGGCGTGCGGTTGCTGTTAGGATTTTGTGCCACTTGAGCAATTTCCCAGATGCCTTAGCCTTTCACTGACAGCGGGTACGGAGGAAGATTTTGATTTTTGACTTTGATTGGAGGAGTTATTCAGCCACTCATTTTCTGAACCGAGATTTTGGCCTGAGATGTAATAGGAGAACTCAGTTGCACATATCCCATGCCATTTTGAGCTTTTTTTTTGTTCGTGATGAACAATTTGATTAACTATAAAAAAAAGCCATGTAAGTTCTTTTTTGCTTTAACACTTTTGTTACTTTGTTCAGCTGATGTTTTCTCGTAGTGTGCCTTCATGCCCCAGATGCAGCCAGACAGTCAGCAATTTTTCTGTGGTTGTTGTAGTTGAAGCTGCATGGATGAATGACCAGTCCACTTTATTATGATGCACTCTATCTGTTCTCTTTCTTTATTCGTTCATTTTTAAAGCACACTGCAAGAGCAGATAGAATCTATCGTTTTACGCTTCTTGAAGTCACACTTCTGTAAGTTTTACGATTTGAACACATGCAGGAGTTTCGGATGTGCTACTTACCGAAACCGTGGATATCAGCATAATCAAAAACTTCATCACTCGTCATCCGCGTCTCATCCAGACGTGACGGTTGTGGATGAAAAAATCCCAAATCTGATTCCGATGACTCCAGTTCATAAGGCCACATCTGTCTCCCCGCATTTCTCGGAGTAGCTCTGACAGAACCGGATCCAGAAAGGTCTGGACCTGGAGCTCGTGATTGGCCAGCCTAGAGTCACGATTTTGTCGATATATAAAAGCTTTATGATGAGCTGATACCTGCACAACACGTGCATTCATGAGTGTTCAAAACTGAAACTTTACTTGCGAAGCATACCTCAAAAGCATACTTCAAAACTGAATTTGCAGTCTTTAGATGGTAAATACCTATAAAATATCCTCGCAAAATTTTGGCATCCCAGTTTTGTTTCCTACCAAAATCTACTTCTCATCTGAAAATTTTCTGCTGTGATAACTGTCTAGTTAAATTAATGCGACAGTCGGTCATTATTAAGTTTTTAGCTGCAAAGGACGAAAAGAAACTGTTCTGGGCAAATTTTACTTATCAAAAGAGGCAGCGAGGAATTTACCCATGAAAAGGCTCGCGTACGGATTGGGTTTCGTGGCGCTGATCTTGTGTAGCTGGCACTTCTGGAAAGCGCTCGGCGCTGTCCAAATACGTATGCATCACGTGGCGTATGTTGGGGATCGTACTATAAATCAGCATGTATACAACAGGCAACGTCTATTTGAATAGGACTCGATGAGGCATTGGAACAGAAAACTTAAACAGTGATCTGTTATGGAGGTCTTTGGCATGAGGCAAACATGCAGAAACTGCGTATTTTCCAGCAGCCTTAACAAGACAGCGGTGAAAGTACAGAATTATCAAATGAGTGAAAGCTCGAATAAGATTTTTGTAATACAGCTTACCGGGAGCGGAGATGGAATATCGAAATCGATCGCAGAAATATCGGAGTGTCGCCTGCAACTAACTGTGATTTTAACTAATTCTATCTGCACAAATATTCAAAGTTATAGTGAGGCCCCCTCCGTGAAACATTCTCTTTAAATAGTACTCGGAAGTAGACTGGACAGTAAAGTATGCCAGTAGCAGCATTTACTATATGTCGGTATCAGTTTATCATCGAAATGTATGGACGAACCGTGGAAGGATTGGTTTTTCCTTGGCAGTGGAATGTCAGTGTTCTACTTTATAGCAGCCCTCCTTCTTAGTATGCCATGCTTGCCTATCCCATATGCATTCATTAGGCTTCTTTCAAGTATCATCTCTCAATCACCGAAATTATCGTAAGGGAAATTTGAGCTACTTAAAAGATTTGTGCCCTTAAAATTCAAAAATATGTTCAAAAAGCTAGACTGTAGGCGTAGTTAACAAGCTTTTGCAAAACTTAGAGTCAAGAGGACTTAGAGTCAACTTAGAGTCAAAAGCTTTTGCAAAACTTAGAATATCTGATGCATAGAGTATTTCTTTTGGAAAATAGAAAGAAAAAAAGCGATTAATCGGACGCCAGGATTTCCAGCGGGCTAATGAGTTGTGCGGAGCTTTGTTTCATGTAATCAAAAAAGGATATCAGCAATATAAATGGTACGAAGGTGCACTGTGATCAAGTGGCAGTTTATCAGACTCAAAAAGAAAGCGATATGTGAAGTATTTATACCTTGCTGGTGTGGAGTATGATGAAGCATCATCGGACCTTCGAAAGGCTGAAAAAGCCGGCATGAATGTCTATATCTTATCAAAAACACTGCTAAAGTTCCTCTTTTTCTATTTTTTTTTCTTCCTTCCTTCTTTCTTCAACTCCATTACATTAATTTAGTCGCTTGGCCGGTCAGGTATTCCACCGATGGTCACCACCTCTTCCGCGCTATCACTGTGTATTTTTATACAGCTTAGGGGTGAAACATGGACAGATTACTATTGTAAAACACTTTTAAAACCTTATAGATAAAACTCAAAAATCTTATAATTCCTACGGAATTCAAATGCAGATAATAAATCATTATCTGCGTTTGACAGGCAACTGTTATCGCGAAAAGGGCAAACAAGTATATTGCTTGTTAAACAAATAAACCAATGCAGCTGCGACGCACGTGGACAACTGACCCTGCCCAGATAAGGCGGGTAGGACTATATTCAAAAAATAAACCTGGGAGCATGTCTAGCCCCTCCTCGCGAAGAACAGTATAAAGAACACAGGAACCCTCAGTCGGGGTCCTGGTAATTCGGGCGTCTCTAACTTGACTCGGCTCACCGTCTTCGATTCAGCTGCGACTCGACACCGTTTCGACATATCCTTGACAGAGTAACACCACATCGGCTGCGGCTGTGGCGTCGAGGATCATACGTGTCTACAAGGATCGTCAGCCTCGACTAGGTCCGGTTGCGAAGCATCGACTTATGCACCTCCCTTGGTCCCAGTTTATAACGGTCCCACTGTACCGGTGGCATACGCAGACACTGCGTGGCCGCTGAAGAGTGATCGCTAGACAATCTCTTAATAAAAATCCGTTACACTTGGCTCCGGTCTTTGGCTGCACTTGGCCACACATATGCGTATCAGACTTGGCTGTACTAGCAACGGATTCATCATCAACAGTTGATGTAACTATACGCTGCCAACTCAACTACGGTCCAATATACCCTTTCGACCTTTACTGCGAAAGGCGTAAGACGCATAATTTTGAGGCAGAAACGGCTCACCGTTCGCTAGACAAATCGAAGCTACCTTGTTTCTGAGCTCACACTAGAATCGTCTTGGCTGTTGGAAAATCTCTCCTTTATTTGCTTGAGTAGCAAACAAACACAGCTATGTTACAACGAGTGTATTGGGCAATTAGAATCTTACTTTCTATTTTTTTTTAACTTTCCAGTTATCATCCTCTACGGTAATTTTCGTTCATTGTTGCTATTTTCTAATGAAAACCGAAAAGCAGCTGGTAACAAATGTTTGTTATCGGTCTTCTGTTGCGTCTCAAACACCATAGTATTGCCGATTTTTTAGCCAGACGTGTAATTTGAATTCCTGGATGAGTTGAAAAAAGACTGTTCAGTTTTATAGAATGTAAACGTCAGAAGTATGAGACATTATTTCATTCTTGTGTTAGAATAATAGAACGCATCATGGGTCACACTGCCTTCCGTAGAGGATGCTGAAATTTCAGGCCATTCCTGCAGTGGCAAATACAAAACTAGTACAACAAAAATAACAAAGCT